AACAAATCTCCGTCGCCACGAGTTCACCTGCACGCCATGACGCCGTTACATGGTGCCCAGTGACACGCTGTGACGGTCCAATTTAACATTAGATCATGAATTCCCGGACGGTGGTAAAGTGTTCTGTGAAAACACCTGCGCCATGTAGCACCCAATGAGACATATTGGCCTTGTTTAATGTTCTAGAACAAGTCTTGTTTATCCCGCAATAAAGCAGAGGTTAGGGAGACGGTGAGAGACGTTGTGAGATTTTAGCTGGGTACATGGGTGAATGCCATGCCATCAAAGCTATGGCGCCCTGCCACCGACGCATTTGATGTCAAGTAACAAATCTGAAAGCAGAATCTTTGGGCACTCTGACTGATTTTCCACATTAAGGTTAAGGCACCCTACCACCTACCGCATTATTACGTAATGGTTTAATGACCAATCGGAAAGCAGGATCTCGGAGCGCTCTGACCGATTTAAGGTTAGGGCGCCCTACCACCGACCGCATTATTACGCAATGGTTTGATGACCAATCGGAAAGCAGGATCTCGGAGCGCTCTGACCGATTTAAGGTTAGGGCGCCCTGCCACCGACCGCATTATTACGTAATGGTTTGATGACCAATCGGAAAGCAGGATCTCGGAGCGCTCTGACCGATTTAAGGTTAGGGCGCCCTACCACCGACCGCATTATTACGTAATGGTGTAATGACCAATCGGAAAGCAGGATCTCGGAGCGCTCTGACCAGGATCCCATCAGATCAGGGCGCTCTGACCGAAATCCATTGTTCACATGTCGCACGAAGGGTATAAAAGGCGGAGAAAAGTCGTGCTTCTCCAGTTGAATCCCGTTTGGGCAACTTAAGAGCAATGGAGGGCCGAAGGCTTGTAAAAGCAAAAACGCCGAGGGCCAATTTTAGTTTCATGAGAGGTCGTGACGATGACCGACGCACTCCAGGCCAGAAGAGATCAAGGGACAGCACAGGATCTGATGTAAGAGGAAAGCGTCAACGGTTGACTTTCGAAACAGCCAGTACATCTGTGAGTGATCCCCTGGCCACGTACAAGATGACGCTGAGGACTGAAGGCGAGATATTTGAAGTACGACTTCAAGATGGTGTAAAGGTTTGGGTGATCCGCGACTGGAACGGAAACAGGCTGAAAGAAGGCAAGTACGTGGTTGTGGAAAAAATGGACACGTCCTTCACAAGTGTGACCGGTTCTACCCATACCTTTTGGATCTGTTCCTGCCGAGAAGCTAGTGACCAACAACATCGTCTGCGTGAAACAAGTAAAACGGTCACTGAAGATTTCGACGAGTTTATCTGCAGAGAGGAGGGTGCTTACTGTATCCACTGTCGCATGACTAGCTCTCTTGAAGAGGAGCCTGATGTTGGTCCGGAACAAGATGAAGATGAAATGGAGGAAGAGGACGAGCTTGAAGAGAATAACGCCAACGATGTGCACTTCATAAGAGCAGAGCCGCTGCTTGCCCTGACCTCGTGTGGCGGGGGCAGGGCCGTTGTTGGAACAACTAGACGTCATCGACATCTACACTGCCTTACTTGCGACTACGCCGTGCGAAGCTGTCGTCACGTAACCGCATATCGTGAATGGCTTCGAGATGAGGGCATAGAAGAACCGATGGATGACGGAGACGAGACGCCGACGCCACTGCCGTCTGCCAAGTCGTGGCAAACCATCCCATATCCCCTTCCGGATGACCTACGGGAACTTCAACATGAATACGACTCAGGACTGTGCGCGGTTCCAGAGAATCTTGTGCCAGGGATACCAGATTCTCGTTGTCCCAACAATTTTGCTTGGGATAGTAGCGACCCAATCGAAAACGGATGGTGCTATACCGTTTTTTTGAACGAGACAAACATGTACCGTAGATGCAGGAAACGTTTGCAGTAAATGTGACTGTCGCAGCATTTGTAGTTCTGGAGCGCTTAAACTATGGGTAAAACTTGTACATAATTTGACTTGACCAATAAACAGTGGTATACTTTCTAAAAGGCTTTGTTTTGGTCACTTGAACGAGAGATTCGTGTGAATACTAGTACTAGTATATGGAGTGATTGAATGTGGTGTGTTGGAACACTTGGTTCGGTAAGAAATTATTTTGGTTAGAATGAAAACGTCGGAGTGACTGGTGAGTGTGTAAGAGTGAGAAAAGTCAGATAGTCTTATAAAACTACATCTTCTATCACAACGTGTAGATTGTGTGAAAGTGTTCCGATTTTTTTTGTTAATGAGACTAGCTAAGACTAGTTTGCTTTTCCATGGAGCCTCCATGGCTTTTCCAAATGCCGGCAGAACAATGGTGGGCAATCAGCACATGAAATTTACATACGGAACATTGTTTATTTTGGTCCGGTTGAACTGGTTGAAATCTACCGAAATACAGGGCGAAATACAGCACAAGTATGCTTAGATGCAGTAAGGACATTGTATGTGGATGCTAGTAAACATCACAGGATACTTGACATAAAATGGTGTATACAAGGCACGGGGAACTAAGAAACCAGTCGATTTATTTGGACTACACAGACCACGCTATAATAAACAAAACAAACATGGCGATGGGCCAAAGTCTAACCCCGTTAGACACGCAAATGTCGATTCAATTTTGACATTTCAATTCCGTTGAAAGCTCCACTACTGTCGCTAGATAGCTGAAATCGCACGCATTATGTACATAACACAAAGATGAAAGTACCAAGGAGGTTTGATTTTTATTTTAACCCCCTTCCACGTACCGCTGTACCCTTTGAAGCACACAGACAACATTGCGGCGTTACACGATCTTTTATTCTTGACAATGGACTTATTACTAGTATTCTGATCTATTGGTGATTGAACTGTTACCATGATCAAAGAGAATTACAGGCGGTGTAATCACCAAAAACGCCGACCTTTTCAGAGAACCTTTTCGAAGTCGGCTATAAATTGGTGTACCAGAGATACAACTATCAGAACGATATCACCTTTACCATGACGGAGCATATGACAGTACGAAACTTTCGAAAATGGACGTCTCTCGAGGCAAGGGCGACAGCTTTTGTAGAAGGGAGGAACGATGTGGTGATTCTTGCCTGTGTCAAGGACAAGAACACGCATCAACCCCGGTTCATTCACTGGGGAACGCCATGCCTGAGGGAAGCCGTGTTGGATCACCTCCCAGCCATCATCGACGGCTTCCACGCCAAGAGAATGACAGAGGAGCGGGGTAACCTGGAGGGAGCGAGAGTTGTAGGAGAGGAGGATGAGACAGCCACTCCTGACCTGCCGGACCTCTGGAAGGAGCCATGCGGACTGGCGGTCATGAACATCGAGGGTTTGCGAACCCTCGTTCGGACCGCCATCCGCATGACAACCAAGCGGGAACCGCGGTGGGGGAAGGACGAGGCCCGGTGGGAGTTCTGGGACGATGACGTCCCCTACACACTCAGCGTCGATCCACGGACCGCGGAGCAGAAGAGGAGGCAAAGCTGGGCATCGTTTCTGCGAGAGACGATCCATCGGTGCTACCAGCACTATGGACTCGAGCATCGCCTTGGTGGGTTTCTTTTCTTATATGTGTATGTTGATAAGTTGATATATTGTGGTCTCTTGTATACTACAGAGAGATATAAACAATTTGGAGACCTTTATTTTATTGCCACACTGGGCTAAGCATAGGTCACATATATTTAATAACAATGTATATGGATGTAAATAATATTACAGCATTTTTATTCCTTCCCTTCCAAGAACATTGCATGATACATGTGTACTAGTATTAATGTCACCATTTGTTTTAAACAGCCGACGACCAGCCCAGCGACACCGCGGCCGCCGACCAGCCCAGCGACACCGCGGCCTCCGACCAGCCCAGCGACACCGCGGCCTCCGACCAGCCCAGCGACACCGCGGCCTCCGACAAGCCCAGTGACACCGCGGCCGCCGATCAGCCCAGCGACACCACGGCCGCCGCAGCAGTGAGTCCGTCCCGCCAGTGAAGAGAAAGATTATGCGGTTACTTAGAGGCAGCAAGCGGCGCCAACCAGGTAACCCCAACGGGCCCACTGACCAGGCTAGCAACAGGCCCACCGACCAGGCTAGCAACGGGCCCGCCGAACAGGCTAGCAACGTGCGACAGCCTAGGGGTAGGGGTAGGAAGCGACGCACAACAGAGACAGCTCCGCCCGAAGAGACTCGCCGACCAGAGCGACCACCAAGGACAAGGAGTCAGCCGTCGAGGTTTGACCTATATATAGTTAACTAGAGGCCGGAGATGTCATGCCTTTGTCGGAGGGACTAGATAAACGAACTTGTGTATTCTTTACTTTTCTTAACAAGAAGAAGTCGTAGACATCATCACTCCATGGTTTTGTTATCTTCTGGTGTATTTTTGTCTACTTATGTTATAAGGATATTTTGAGTTCAATTTAGTCTAAGGTACAAAAGAATCTCTGTACTCCTTTTTATTCTACGGCCAGGAAAACTGTTATAAGAAATTATTTGTAATTGTTCATAATTTGATAATCTCGATACATGTATAAGGATATAAATAATTCTGTTCCATTTCTTAATTACATGTACACGTATTTAGTTAATCGTTTAGTATATTCAAGCTTATAATTTGGAACACATTTTTCGTTACTAGTACTTTGTTCAGGACATTTGATTTTGTAAGCATTATTGCGTGACAGTAATCCCTGTCGTGATAGTAAAAATTAAATCTCCTCGGGTATAGTATGTGTGCGTGTTGAGTTTAGAGTACCTGTAAGCAACATGAGCGCTGCAATGAGTTTCTGTATGACCCGTCATAGCGTGTGGGTCAGCACATAATAACGGTCGAATAAAACAAACGATAAAGACTAAAAAACTGGAATATGTCCTTATACACATGTAGCAGCAACATAACTCTTAAAAAGAAACAAAGTTTCAATCGCTAATCAAAGGACGAAACTTACCATTGAAAAATACCATTCGCCGTAACGTGAGTTTCTGTATGACCCGTCATAGCGTGTGGGTCAGCACATGATAACGGTAGAATAAAACAAACGATAAAGTCTCTGAAAACTGTCCTTATATGTCCTAAAAATAAAATGTCATTATAGCAGCAAAATAGTAAAAAGAAAACAGTTTCTATCATTTTACAATCGCTAATCAAAGGACGAAACTTACCATTGAAAATACCATTCGCCGTAACGTGAGTTTCTGTATGACCCGTCATAGCGTGTGGGTCAGCACATGATAACGGTAGAATAAAACAAACGACAAAGACTCTAAAAACTGGAAAATGTTCTTATCTTACAGCAGCAAACTAACTCTTAAAAAGAAAAAGTTTTAAAAGTTTCTATCATTTACAATCGCTAATCAAAGGACGAATTTTACCATCAGTGTAACGTGCGTTTCCGTGTGAGTCAGCACATGATAACGGTACGAGGATAACACAAACGATAAAGTCTCTAAAAACTGTCCTTATATGTCCTAAAAAGAAAATGTCATTATAGCAGCAAAATAATAAAAAGAAAACAAAGTTTCTATCATTTTACAATCGCTAATCAAAGGACGAAACGTACAATTCAAAAATACAATTTTGCCATATACAGCCATTAGTCGTAACGTGAGTTTCTGTATGACCCGTCATAGCGTGTGGGTCAGCACATGATAACGGTCGAATAAAACAAACGAAAAGAATCTAAAATTCTAAATAAACTTTAAAATTTTCTTACAACCACTTTTTTTAGAAACAATTTTAGAAATTAGAGCCTGGAAATTAATGACGAATTCTAAAACTAAAATAAGAGAAATTTAAAAATACCTGTAAGAGTTCCTAAGTTCGACCGTCACAGCGTGCAGCGTGGCACAGGAGGGCGGGTCAGAACTTCAACTGGCGTGCGAGTGTCGACATTCTCTACAAGTACTACCTTTTTTTATCGAATTGCCCTGTGGCTAAATCGACAATTTTCACCTCCTCAAGTCTCACAAGTAGCAGCAACATTTTATTAGTTCACCGTCAGTCCACAAAACTTCCGTCACAGTGTGCTGCTCAGCACGTCTTGACGTGCTGACTGGCACGTGGCGACGGCATGCGGAAAGTTCCCCCGCTTGCCTTTTATTGTGAAATACATTATTTAGAAATGAACCATTCAGCTTAGAAATATTTCTCTTCAAGCTTGTGTCCGAAAATCTTCCATGTAACGGACTCACACAAAAAAGAGAGACCGAGCGCCGCATCCAGCCAACTTCACGCCGTACCGCCGTAATGTATGTGTCGCAATAAGTGGCTACTTTCTGTCTAAGCGGCCGGCACAACATGGCGGATTTTTCGTGCCGTGCCGCTGAACTCCGCGGCCAAATTATAGGTCTTTATGCAGGTTAACTGGCAGCTTCAACGAAGAAAACCACAAGTAATACATCTGAAGATTATCACAAGCGGAAAAGTTGATAGTTTTGGTGTTGTTTCTTTATTTTCAGAACGGGTTAGTCGAACGATCTTGGCCAGATCGGCGCTCCACGTCCTGACAGGCGCTCAGTACGGGCTTGGCAAAGTCGTAAATTTCTCAAATTCTGCCCTTCATAGGAATCAAAAGATCGTAAAATATGATTAACTATATTCTACCCGAGTATAGTCAACCGTTTTAGCTTTATATCAATGTGGAGACCGTTAAAAACAGCCGTTCTGGGTGCCCCATATACATGCACCCTGCCGTCTTTGCGTGTTTCCTGTGCACTTTTGACGCCGTCGAAACGTGCTGTGTGGCACGCTTACATAGCTCAAAGTTTCTACCAACTACACTATCAAAGGTAAAGTAGGTAGGCTTAGCACAAGTTCAGCAGAAGACATCTCTAGTCGTCAGCTTCCCGGAAGCCTGTGTAGTCTGGAGACGGGAAGTGGCTTCTTATAGCATCCACAGTGCAAGAGGGCAGAGTAACCCGGTTCTTCTTTCCAAGGAACTCGTAGCACCAGCGCACAAACTGTCGGTACGTAGTGTACCGCTTCCAGCTGAAAAAGATTATGTATTGGTATTATGGTACTTAGATAAATTTACCCTTTCTTTCAAATCTAGTCCACAAGCAATACAAGTGATCATAATAGATAACTATCATGTTACAATTGCAGAAATCTTTTTTTGTTGGTTTGGTTGAAACATACAATGATACATGTAACACATGAAATCTAGGATTGCCCATCTAGCTTATTGTTATAATTTTTGGCAAAGGCTAACCTTATCAAGTTATCATGATACGTATTTTTTGTGTATTATTTTCATACTCACTCGTTTCCAAAGGTCACCCCGTAATGATCCCGATAAGCAAAGTATGCTGTTTCTAGTACGTCCACGGCTAGGCAGACTTGGGGAAATCCGTGGTGTTGGGTAATGCAGTCAATGCCGGGCTCCCTCTCCCTTCGCTCACAAACACGCATCTGCTCCCGGCAGCACACATTCTCCTTCACCTTTCGGTGGTCAACGCAGTTCCCACAAGTACACCTAGAAGACCAAACCCCAATAAGGAATTAAAAATTGTCATACGATTTGTAAAAATGTGATAAGAATTAGTTGTGAGCACAGCGTTTGTCTAAACAAACGCTGGCGGTGACTTCTGAAGGTCAGGGGTCGCACTAATCATCCACACGTATCGCCATGTTCCACTTGTTTTGGCGATCTTTCAAGACAATTTCCGCTCTAATTTCTTATTCTTTCATGGAGGTAACGAAAAAACACAGATTAAAGAAATGGCTGCCTCCGGGGACGACAAAGACCAGAAGTAATGACGCTAATCCGCAGAAAGAAGGTACGGTACCGCGAGGTTAGAAAAACAACACAGGCCGCGGGGCGAACCCAAGGTCACAAAATCGTAATATTTTATACTACAAGTACGTCTCACCATAGCGAGTAATCTATATCCTATCACAGAAACCTAACAGCAAAATTATCTAAGCCTCACTTACCAGTCCATGTTCCGCAGTCGGCTTTCGCTATCGAGCGGAATTTGTCCGTCGATTTCAAGTTCCCCGCCATCAGCCATGGCGTCACCAGCGGCCTCACCTTCATCGTCGCTGTCAGAATTCGGCTCGTCTGACTGCACGTCAGAGAGATATGGCTCAAATCTGTAGGGCATGAGAACTCCTACGACCTCCTCCGAATCTGAGTCCGACTCAAATTCCTCACAGATACATTCTACGGTAAACGAGCAGTCAGAAAAAGTCTCAACTTCGTCAGCGTCCATGGTCGGTGTTGCCATTGTTAAAACAAACAGACAATTGGCAGATAGCGGGTGCGTCCCTTGTGTTACGTCACGGCATCACGTGACGGCTTCTGGAATGGGGCTACTACGCCGGGGTCGCGGCTTTCCAAAAACGACACTTTGAGAAGCTGTATAATCTTTATTTCTCGGTAAAAGGGACTACAAACACTTTTAACTTACTGTACTATATGTATATTTTTGATATCTATGCCTATTTCAGGTACTTTTTGAGGTGGCTTCTGCCCTTTAATATGTAATTGAGGTATGAGGTTGCCGAACTCTATTTTTTTTGTATTTTTACCTTCTGCAAGTAGGTTATGTGTTTAGAGGGTCCGTGTATTTGTAGGGCTCGTGTATTTGTGTGTGCGCGTGTGTGTGCGCGCGTGTGTGTGTGTGTGTGTGTGCGTGTGTTAGTAAACACAATAACTCGAGAAAGCTAGGATGGATTGTTTAAATATTAAGTAGGTAAGTTGGTCTTATATAGTTGGCTTTATTGGTTAAATATGATCCTATTTTTGATCCCCTCATGGTTTGTCATGATACTGCATCAGGACTTCAAATTTAGATATCTCATGATCTGGTGACGTAGACAGTAGATAGCTCTTGTTTTAAGCATTAAGTGGCATGAGTTTGAGTCACCCTAGCTGCTTGGTCTGGAACAGCAGAGGGATTTGTTACAGATGAAACTGCAGTTCCAGAAAATTGATTTAGCATAACTCATAAATTAATTAACGGATTGCCATGATTTTTGGTATGTTGGTAGCTTAACCCAATCTAGACCGCGCCAACTTTGATGTCACATAACGTCTAAACGGCTAGCGCTAGAACGGCCAAACTTAACGACTTTTCCTAGACTATTGTTGGCAACAATTCTGTATTATTGTTTATTATTATAAGTTTTGCCATGGGAACGGGTTTTTCACAGGCATGTTTCTGCTAAATTTTGTCATTTTCGTTTGAACAATAGCATTTTATTAGTTTTATGTGAAGTTTCACATGGTTTCTAATATCAAGAACATCTCGTATAATTTTCTGTAAATTCTATCATTAAAAATTTGATGACGTCATTGGCCAAAATCCAAGATGGCGGACGTATTATTACAACAGGTATTTTATCAATACCTCCATTTCTTTTTACAAAAAGGGTTTGCATAAACGTCTTTAGTCTGTTTATAATGTATTTTAGGCTTTATCCTAAAAAAAACTTTTTTTGAAATTTCAACATTTATGATCCAAGATGGCGGATAGTTTAAATATGCATGACGTCATTTTATGACATCAACGGTGTTGCTATGGGCAACATAAGACTTAGTAAACCTTAATATTCTGTCAAAAACACTTGGTAAAGTTATGTATACCATGTAGTTTTCAGGGAATATATACCTAGTCTGTTTTGACGCCAAAAAATCACATTAATGTCGTCATGATTACATTATAACATTATATACATACAAATTGTAGTTATGATAAATTTTTCCTAGTACACCATCCTCTAAAAATTTGGTGGTCATAAGATATATTGTTCGCGAGTTGTGAGGGGGGGGTCGAATGAGCCCCCCCCCGTACTACAAAGCCCCAAAAAAGCACGGTCTAGATAGGTAAAGCCTGCATGACGTCATATTCTGTCATAAACTTTTGGTAAAGGTATGTTGTATACCATTTTGTGTTTAACATTAATGACGTCATAATGACGTCAAATTACGTCATAACGACATTAAAATTGTAGATATAATAAATCCATCCTCTAAAAATTTGGTGGTCATACGACACACCGTTCGCGAGTTCTGAGGGGGGGTCGAATGAGCATCCCCACCGGTCGTACTAGGCTTAAAAAGTCTGGTCTAGATTGGGATAAGTGATGCTTGACATAATAATATTACAAATATGCAACTTTTGATGTAATCTGCATAATATATAAGGAAACACGTTACATTCTTTACATCAGCTGCATTCCAGGATAGGGCTATTTATATTATTTATTTTATACATCTATGTAACTGACAATTAACAACAGGTAGGTATCGATTATAAAAATGAAGACTTAATTATAATGAAAATGGTATAAATATATAGTGGTAACTGTCTGGAAAATCTATGGAAAATCTTACGAACATATGGCATACCTGAGAAGTACATAAGCATATTCAAGTCCTTGTATCAAAATTCTAAGAGTTGTATCAGAACAAAGACAGGGGTCACAGCTATGTTTGAAATTGCTACAGGGGTTAAGCAGGGTTGTATTCTTTCTCCCCTCCTGTTTGTCATTGCCAAACAAACCGGGGATGGAATAACTGTTGGGGAGGGGACACTGAATGACCTCGATTTTGCAGATGACATAGCTGCACTGACTAACAGTTGTGTTGGTCTCCAAAACTTTACAGACAGACTTGCTACCACAGGGGAGAAAATTGGGCTCAGAGTAAGTGGTGACAAAACAAAAGCAATGACATATATTGTAAACCCTTCACCACTTTGACCGGTGCAATAGCTCAATTGGTAGAGTGCTCGCTTTGTAACCGGGCGGTCGTGAGTTCAAACCCCGGCCGGGTCATACCAAAGACTTTAAAAATGGTACACACTTCTTTCTCTGCTTAGCACTCAGCACATATGAGAAAGGGTGTGGGAAGGTCAAACACACAGCACTACCAGCGGACTAGCCCCCTGCTGTAGTGCATTGCACAATTGTGTGTCACCAAAGGGCTGCGAAATGGAGATGGGCACCACCCTACGCTCGGACAAGAGCACGGGAGACCTTCTTCACCACTTCTGCTTGACAACAAACAAATTGATTATGTGGACAGTTTTACATATCTAGGCAGTATTGTTACTATGGGTGGGGGTACAGAAGAGGATATTAAAAGTCGGCTAGGGAAAGCTACTGGAATGTGGCAGCGTCTAAGAAAAATGTGGCGCTCCAAGCATTCCGCTTAAGATGAAGCTTTTCCAGTCCATTGTGGTACCAACTGCTATATATGCATATGAGTCCCGGAGAAGCACCAAAGAGACAGTGCAAATGTTAGACACTTTCCAGCGTAGATGCCACAGAACTATACTAGACATCCCCTGGCGTGACCACGTATCAAATGAGGAGCTCATGCAAAGAGCCAAGGTTCCATCTCTCAGTGCGACTGTAATGAAAAGAAGATTGAGCTTTGCTGGACATGTGTGGAGACTCCTTGACCTCAGAGCCACAAAAACAGCTCTAACATGGAAGCCAGAAGGCACACGTCCGAGAGAGCGGCCGAGACTTAACTCACTTAAGGATATGGCAGTAGTGGCGCAAGACCGAAACCTTTGGAGACAAATAGTCAGACAAGGAGTCGACCTATGCAACAAGGTTGCGGGAGAATCTAAGGTCTAAGGTAAGGTAAATGTCTGGAATTTCATACTTAAAGAAGGGGTGAACGTCATTAAACAAAACTTACTAAAGTAAAGAACTCATTTGCATAATTCATGAGAAAATGCTATAATGGCATTCTTTGTTTTATCAGATGGTCTTATGGTGGTGAATATTATCAATAGATACAACCCATGCAATTGTTTGCATATTCAGAGGGAATAAACTATAATCTATTAGTCAATTTATTTGCCTAAGCGAAAATTGTGGAACTCTAGTTTTTGTTTATTTTTACTTTTAAAACGTTTTGACAATTTTTATGTGTGGAAAACCTGCAATTTTTTTTCGTGAGGCTTGCTGTCTTCTGTCTTGCTGTGTATGTCCAATTCCGTTATTACAAATGTGTGGATAAATAATAGAAATATATATATATATATATAGGCATGGGCAAGATCTCCGAAGAGGGTTAAAACGGCAGTGATTACGCCAAATATCGAGAGTCGACGTTGGGTTAGGAATTTTGTAATAATAGCCTTATTGATCTAATGTATGTTTGTATTAAGATGCCTACGCTCCACGAGAGTCGATGATCTATACCTGTTGTGCGGCATCGCAAGACCACACATAACAAGAGCAGTGGCGGCACAGTAAGAGAAACTGAACCAGGAGACCGACCCACACCAACATGCTCCTGCACGTAAAAGACTCAAATCGAGACACAGCTTCCTCAGTTAACCCTATCTAGACCGGGCTTTTTGGGGCTTGGTGGAGAACGGTATGTCGTATGACCACCAAATTATTCAGAAGATGGTGCACTAGTAAAAATTTATCATATTTACAATTTTTATGTCGTTATCACGTAATATGACGTCATTATGACGTCATTAATGTGATTTTATTGGCCAAAACCGCCTAGATAGGTTATTCCCTTAAAACTAAATGGTATACAACATAACTTTACCAAAAGTGTTTATGACAGAATATTAGGGTGTACTAAGTCTTATGTTGCCCATAGCAACACCGGTGACGTCATAAAATGACGTCATGCATATTTAAGACACCCGCCATCTTGGATCATCAATCTTGAATTTTCAAAAATAGTTTTTTTTCAGGATAAACCTTAAAATACATTGTAAACAGACTAAAGACGTTTATATAAACCTTTTTTGTAAAAAGAAATGGAAGTTTTGATGAAATTTTAAGGAAAATAACCTCTATAAACCTGGAATGGAAAAATGGAAATGGTATGGAAAATAACCTGTATATACCTGTTCTAATGATATGGTCCGGCATCTTGGATTTTGGCCAAAGACGTCATCAGATGAGCTTAAATTATGCATTTTTAACCCTAAACAGTACACCTGGGGTCCGCGCGGACCCCAGCACTATATATTCTGTAATATCTTTTTTGTTTCTAAAGATTTGTTTCTGAAATTTTAGGTAATTGTCACCCACAAAGTTGTTTCTCAATACAGTGCAGAAAACTCCGTTTCTACCATTTATAAAAAACATTATATATGATTTTCTTTTGGGGTCCGCGCGGACCCCAGCCGGCTTTCGATCATAATGGATACACTGGCGTTCCTATACATTGCCTTAATTCCGT